GTGTGTACCATCATGCCTAGCTTAAAATCCTCTTTTATGCCCTAAAGTTTGAAAACTGTTAATACACATGATGAAATTTCCATTTTAAGTTTAAAAACTGGGATTCTTTTGAGAGTATAAGTTAAATGACTAAGATAAAAGACATACTACTTTGCATTTGTGACCTTAAAAAAAATGCTAATTGTAATTACTTTTCTTCAGTTGAGTGTGCGAGGAAAAAATAAAAAAGAGAAACTTGAAGATTTCTTTAAAAACATGGTTAAATCAGCAGACGGAGTAATTGTTTCAGGAGTAAAGGTAAGACTTGATTAACAGTGTTACTGGTTGAAAATTTGCTTCTCTCATTATTTATTTATTAATTTTTGTGGTGCTGGGGATTGAACCCAGGGCCTTGTGCATGCAAGGCAAGCATTCTACCAGCTGTGCTGTATCCCTAGACCGAATTTACTTCTTTTAAAAGGGAAATAGATTGCGATTTCATATGTTCAGAATTAGAGTAAGAATTTGGACAATAGAATCCTTAGGCCTGGGAAATTGTGTCCCTACCTTGGCTCTCTTTAGTGAGTTCTTTTCTCCAAGGAGTGAGAAGTCTGCAGTTCAGGAGATTTATCCATCTGGAGTTACTTCTTTACAAAATGACCATGTTGCAGTACCTCAACTCCCGTGTTTCCTTGCCCATATCCAAAACCACCTTCCAGTTCTGCGTAGATGTCTTTTCCCCAGCTGTGCTGCTGCTGTGCATTTCATGGATGGTGAAGGGGTGATTGTAGGGCAGCTAAGTAAAGGGGAGGGGCAAGGGAAAAGGTCAGTGTGCAGGTTGAAATGTTCACCTATATATGCCCAAGGACCCTCTAGGTATAGGTTAGAGCTGTAGGGTGGAATAAGAAGAGGGGCTGCAAATGTTTTTACACTTGCCCTTAGCTTAGCCTTGCAAATATTAAGAGGTAGACTTAGAATCAGATTTGAAGTTAGAAGATCTTATTTGAAGTTTTAGTGTTGCCTTCTGCTGCTGTATGTTCTTGGGGAAAGTTTCTTTCTCTGAATTTTATTTTTTCCATTTCCAAAATAGGGTTAATAATATGACCTAGCTCACAGAATTATTGAAAAGATTGAATAAGATAATATGTGTGATAATACTTAGAAAGCTAATTATTTATTAAATTAATTATTTACTTACAGTTTATAAAAGTCTTGATATAAAACACTAGTTCTCAAAATGTGGTGTACTGAAACCTAGACCTCAAGATCTTTTTATTTTTATTTATTTATTTTTTTATAAGTGGACACAATGTCTTTATTTTACTTTATGTGGTACTGAGGATAGAAGCCAATGCCTCACGCATGCTAGGCGAGTACTCTACCCCTGAGCCACAACCCCAAGACCCTTTTAAAGCAAGTCTTCAAGGTCAAAACCATTTTCATAAAATTATTATGATACTTTTTG